ATCGGAATCGGATCAGTTGATAAGGGCTGGGTTGAATTTTTTAATCAGCTGATATCAGCTGATAGCGAGCTTGACTACGAGGCCTACCTGAACTAATGCAGAATGCTTGATTTGTGGGTATTTATTTAAGGTAAAAGACCTGAGAGTACAACCTGCAAAGCATTTGTTGTGTGTAAGGAGCCTGAAAAAAATGCTTTGCACTTTACTGTGCATTTGAAGTCTGCAGACTGATCACTGTATTGTGGTCAAGGCCCAAATAAATAAGCTCCAGAGACAATTATTAATCATAGGCCAATTGGAACAATGTGTTTTATCTGGGTTTGAAATAGCTATGGAAGATTTAGACTTTACATACAGCTTACAACATTAGAATGCACAAATGAGTACCCTACTCTAAAAATATACACTGTAGGCAAAATGTAAACTTAAATCTCTGCAATTCAACGTGAGCAATTCCACACAAAGACACTCAAACATCAGAGAGAAGATTAAAACAATGTTATTGATTTTATTTTTATTTTAAATCACCTACTTGTTTGGCATACGGCGCTTTAGGATCCTCAACTTTATTGTACTTCATCTTGGTCTTCAGCTGCTGACGGTGTTGATGGACAGCACTCTCCTTCCATAGACTGTCTTTGGTGGGCTTCCTTATGGGAGGAACCTCAGTCAGACCAATGTCCAAAGAGTCCTGCACCTCACCTGATGATGAATTTGTCAAAAAGTGATCTTATTATGCTTACCTTTTATTACTGATTATTAGTATAACAAGTTATTAATACATATATAATCACCCACTAGTATTCATAGTTTTCACGTAATGTCACACTCTTGAAGGAACGTCCACCTGGAGAGCATGTTAATCGTTTTTCACATCAAGTGTTTTAGAATGTCCCGCTGTTTTTAGTGATTGAAATACTGCAACAGGTGCTACATATGGATCCCAAGGGCCCAAAACTTGCAGTTTGTTCACATATATTTGTTTTTCTTCTTTTGAGAGGTGATCTAAATATTCATGTCTCAAAACGGAAAATTGACAGGTCTGTGTTGCAGTTCTATGAATGATTCATGGTCAATTTTTGCTGTTCATTGTGACAACAAACTTTCAGCTTTATTCTACCCACAGCTGGAGCTACTTTTCTCTGTGTATTGCAGGGTCAGAAAAATTATTCCAAAATGAATAAAATGCCTTCCAAGTTCAGGATAAGGGGGCATGTCCCTGTGAAAAAATAATAATAAATAAATATGGCTGCCACAATTAAAGTGAGGCATTTAGATTTGTTCCCCCTACATTGAAGAATTAATTTTTTTTTTTTTTTTT